GGGGATGAGAACGTAGATCTAGATCTAGACACGTCCTTAGCTAGATCTAGGCCTCTAACCTAGCCTATTTTTAGCTCTCCCGAAATAATCTAGATCTAGATCTAGGTCAAGAGCTTTAATTTCGTTTTTTGTGCTGTTTTTCAGCACAAATCTGCCTGTGTACACCATTTTATAATGAGATACAACTTTATTGATCATGTAAAGTGCAATGAAAGAGCAAAAATGTACTTAAAGATGCAAATTTCCCTCCAAAATGAGTCGAATCGAGACTTTCTTCAAATCTTAGTCCCCTGTGCGACTGACGAAAAAGCGTGCATGCAGGAAAATCGCGTAGACAGGCAAAGGCAGTCAGTGACTGACAAAAACAGGCCCCGCATCCACTGCGCTTTTTCGTCCCTTGCAGGCAAAGCTCACATGCAAATGAGCTTGTTTTTGTCAGTCAATGACTGCCTTTGCCTGACTACGCGATGTTCCTGCATGCACGCTTTTTCGTCAGTCGTACACAGGGGACTAAGAAAGCCTCGATTCGACTCATTTTGGAAGGAAATTTGCATCTTTAAGTACATTTTTGCTTCTTCATTGCACTTTACATGATCAATAAAGGTGTATCTCATTATACTATGTTGTACAATTGCAGATTTGTGCTGAAAAATAGCAAAAAAATGAAATTAAAGCACTTGACCTATATCTAGATCTAGATCATTATTTCGTTCTCGGGAGAGATAAAAATACCCAGGTTAGACCTTGCTTGGGACGTGTCTAGATCTAGATCTAGATAGATCTACGTTCTCTAATGTTTAGTGCTTTCCAATTTTCCGCTAATTTTTAGTTTTTTCCAGACATTATCTGCCGGTCCACTAGATCTAGGCCTAGATTCTAGATCTGCATCTCGATATATTGTGTCGCTTTGACTTTCCTGAAACAGTGCAGTATATTATGCAGCTTAATTTACCCTTCGCTGATGAAAGTTCTGATGGCCGAGTGAACAATGTGACTGCGTTTGAAGGCAAATATTATTTTGTGAGCGTGGGTTCGAATCCCAGTCCCAGTCCCAGCTTTTTTTTCCTTCTCATAGTCCCAAATTACCAACAATTTTCCCATAATTATAATTTGTTGCTTTTTAGTTGTTTTTTTAATGTGGTAAATAAATATATCTGGAATCTAGATCTAAATAATTAATAAATCGCCTGTGCTGTCTGCTGTTCTCGTAATCATAACACACTGGGCTAAAAATAGGTTTAGCTGGTCTGACGTCTGACGTCGGTGGACGCGGATCTTTTTGAGTGGCTTCTACACCATGAAAAAACCTCGTACATTAGCATGGCCTGCAATTGATCTTATTTTGGTGGACGTGTAGACTTAGAGTGGCCAATTTTGTTACAAGAAATTAATTTTATAGTGAACACTTTTTCTGCACAAAAGGTTCCAAAAAAATGCGTTCAATAAGCATAATGTCGTGATTAGACAAAAATGACGGACTTGTTTTCAAAGGCGATATTGCCCCCTCTGTAAACCTTTTAAAAATCTGTAGAAACCACCCACTAGTATTTAATACGGAATTTGGTAGCAAACAGGTGTTTACAAAAATATTGATACGTTAAGACAAATCTATAGAAGTCATTGTGCAAAAGCTGGAGAATCTGTGCTCGATAGTTGAGGGAATATACAATAAGTTGCGCCAAAATGTTTGACCGCACTTCGGACACAAGTACACTTGTTTTGTTAGTGTTAGTTGTTTTAGTAAGGTTTTACGGCGCTCGCAACTGCGTAAGGCCATATGAGCGCTAAGGGGTCGATGTCAACAGAGAAGTCCAAACGGGGAATCAGGCTTACTCTGCTCACCTCTCTAGCCTCAGCAGCACAAAGTCTGCTTCGACTATTAAGGCACCCCGGAAATAGCAGTTCACAAGAAAGTGACAAACAATCTAAAGAAGTATAGGAAACATGACGATAGTAAGGATGAGGAAAGAAGAAGCAGCGGTTCCCCTTATGTTGTTCTGGCACAGTATGAGCATGAAATTGATAAATCAGCGCATTTACAATTCTACTGTGCTTAAGAACATGTTAATATCCCCCCTTCGGGAATAGTACCCTTGTGG